CATAAGCATCAAAGGCCTTGACGCAATCCTGAACCTCCATGTCGAAGAATCTGTCAAGAAGCACAGCCAGAATCTCGCACACGTCTGCATACAACTTGAAGCTCTCCTTCACAATAGTGTACAAGGCCACCAGAATCATGCGCTCGTTCTTGGCCAGGCCGGTGGGCCTGCATGACAAGAACCGATCCAACAATCTCTGCAAATGGCCCATCTTCCCAAAGATCCTCTCAGTCTTCATCTCCCTCAGAGGAGTAATCACATCCCTCGAAGGCTCTTCTCTAGAATCCCCGAACCTCTCGATCTCACCCCCATTACCGCCAAGCTTCCGCTCGTAAGCCATCAGGTCAAGTTTCTGGTCCAGGTAGAGGGCGTACGTCCTGACAAATGCTGAGTGGTCCCACGAGCTCGAGTGGGCCTCGTCACGGAAGTCAGAGAGGTTAAGGAGCCGAGTTCCCCTGCGGGTGGCATACATAATCTCACGCTGAAAAACAGAATCACCCTCATTGAGCAGGCGGTGGACGAGCATCAAACACTTGAGGGCCACGATCCAATCCCGGGTTTTCCCCAGTCTCTTAGAGACAGCAAGCACACAGGCACTGACATATCCATGAGAATAAGAGGTGAGCTGGATGATCTCCCGAATGTACTTCTCGGAGGCAGGGTCATCGTCGTGGCTGGTGGCTTTGACGATGGCGACCTCCAGCTCGGGGGCCATGTTTCCCGCTACTTTGGCGATCCCGATGCTCGTCTGATCCTTGACGGCCCCGATCGCCTTCCTTATTGTGGTCGGAGCCATTTTTTTTTTCACTCTGGATCTAAATCGATTATCAGTTCGAGCTAGCGCCCAGTTTCAATAATTCGCACACAAAATAGAAACAAGACCTAAATAATCGCTCGTCTCTCAGCAGTCAATCACTTGACTTTACTTTTGCAGTATACACGGGCTACAGTAACGTAGACGAAAACAAACAATTAAAAGCACATAAACGAGATCAAACGAAGATCAATGTACCAGTTTACAAATCAAGTGAAGGAAGCAAGGTGAATGATCACTGTAAACGAAGATCGCGCAAATTTCGGTTCGGATCTGCGAGAAATTGATAAACGGGTTTATGGATCAATTTACCTGGGAGAAAATCAAGCACTTGGATCCAGCTGTGTTGATGGGAGATCGAGCAGTGGTTGGTGAGAGATATACGTAGCCTTTTGAAGGGAGATTATGAGAAATGTAGATTTGAAGGGATAGATTTGTTGCTGCCTACAACAAGAACGCGTGGTAACAATGGATACAATATATTAAATTAATTAAAAAATAAAATATTTAATTTTAAAATCAAGGGGTGGAGAACCAGGATTTGAGATATCCGATGAACATGAGCCGTTGGATTTGATTCTTTGCTAATTGGGATATTACCGCGTGCAATTTGGTAATTACATAAGTTAGCTTATAACTTATTTGGTTAGATTATACAAACGAGATATTTTTAAAAAACTTTAGCTTATCTCGTAAACTTTCTTAGGTAACTTTTCTAATTTTACCAAATATTTTTATTATATGAATTAGTTTTTTAACCATAAGTCATAAATTATCAGCTATAAGCTCGAAATTCACTTATAAACTATTAGTTAACTTATCAGCTATCAACTAGCTTATCAACTAGATTTACCAAATATAACTTTAGTTATTTACATCATGTCCAACTGCTGATATCTTAATCTATCTGACACATGGCATAAATAATCTAATCGTTTGGGCTAAAAAATTGGAGTGAATAGACTGGTTCGACTCATCGACCATACGATGACCAACTCGGTATGAACAAGGACCCACGCAAAGGACTCAACTTTCCCACCCCGTGGGTCAACCTATGACCATGAACATAAAATAGCAAAACGTAAGTAGCTGGGTAGTAAAGCGAATTTCCTGAAGAGCCCGGTCATTCAACTGCGAGAAAGACGATCAAGACCACTCGAAGATCGGCCTTTGATACGAATTAAATGCGGATGAGATGCATGCCCATCGTACTGTCAAACAATCATTATAGGTGGGACCCGCCCAGTAAAGCCACAAGTCGTCATCAGATCGCATTAAATGACGGCGTACCGACATCGTGAATCGTGTCCATGGGCTTTAGACTATAAATATCACTCATCTATTGTAATACATGCATAATGAATTATTCTCTTTCTAGAAATAACAAGTTTACCAATAATTCGAGTTGTTTACTATATGAAATCGAGGTGACCTGACCCCACAACATTTTTACTTAGGGAATTTCTCTAAATCGTTGGTGCGAAATTCGTATTCAGCATATTGGAGCTAGAGGAAGGACTGCATCACATGTTTTGGAGTAACCTTAACCATAATTTATATCACAAATCCTCGAAAAGTTGTCTTTATCGAGCCAAGAAGACCAGGAACATTATAGGGTCGAAAGGAACCCGCAGATGGCCTCCGCTGTCAATTTTAAGCTTTTAAGCTTCTTGTATTCAAATAAACTTGGGCTATGTTTGGTAAAACTAATTGATGAACTACCTGACAACTGATAAGTGAATTTAAAACTTATAGCTAATAGCTTATGACTTATGGCTGAAAAACCAGTTGATATGATAAAAGTATTTAGTAAAATTAGCTAAAATAAAATTAAAAACGGGCTTATTTGAAAAGATATTAAAAGAGAACTTATAAGACAAGCTCGAGATTGAAAAAAAGCTCGTTCTACCAAACTAAACTATAATATGTTTGGTAAAAATAGCTTATAAGCTAGCTGATAGAAAAATAGCTTATAAGCTAACTGATAGCTAGCTTATTGGTTCACTGAGTTTACATATTGTCTACCCACGTACCAAATGGATAAAACATCACGTTTTTACCCATACCCAATTTAAAAACTGAACATGAATTCTTTCTAAAACTTGGCATGTAAAGACAATTACTCATAAACCAAAACTTCTATAGAGAACTCTTTCTGATATGTTTTTGGCTCCTTTGAGTTTACAATTTTTCTAACCTTGTACCAAATGGATAAAACGTTTTGTTTTTCAAAACAACAAACGTAACATCCATACACAATTTAGAAACTGAACATGAGTTTTTTTTTTTTCTAAAAATTGGTATGTAAAAACAATTACTCATAAACCACGTTGCTGGGCCACACGCTTATGGATCTCACGGGCTTCTGGATCGCGTGGAGTTGGGCCGCGTGTTGCTCAATACCTGGGACGGGCCGGACGCGCACAAGATGTTGGGTCCTGGGCTTTGTGCGCGAACACCTGCTGGGCTGACTGTGCAGAGGCTGGCCGCACTGGGCGGATTCCGGGAAAAATTCCGGCGAGTCACCGGTGGTCGTCTGAGCTCCGGCCGGTCACCGGTGATCTGGAGGGAGGGGGGTCGTCAGAAAATTATATAATATTAAAGGCTCGATAAATATTGTACCCTAAAGCCTTCTAATGTATTAACTTTAAACCTACTCCGATAATCTTGGTGGGCGATTAATCGAAACTCCCGAACTCTCGTAAAATATGAAACTCTATTTTCCTCTCCCTAATAGGACCTTAAAATTGGATCTCACACATGTAGGGGAAAAGGTTGAGACATTGTGTATATAGGCTACATTAGGGACCTTAAAAAGGTGCTAAGTATAGGTTTATCCCATTAGGCTTAGAAATCCTAATTATGTTCTATATCTTATCCAATTTATAAGTCCTATTCCTCCTAACTTTTATTACATTCTAGATAGTCTCCTAACCATAGGTAATATTCTAGAAGGAATATTCGTCTCCTAATAGAATCTAAAATTTAGAAAATAATTAATTCCTAATATCTTAAATAGAATTAAATAATAAAACATTCCACTAGAGTAATATTATTGTTCTCCCCATTTAACTTCAATTTATTCAATAATATCGAACATCCATTTGATTAGCTAATATTAAACTAATTGATCATTTTATCTCCTTATGTTTAAGATATAATGTCTGTTGATTAATTAAATTACTGACAAAATTAATTAATCAACTTTGTTGTCAAATGGAAATTAACAACAACCAAATTGGGGTGTATTTTAAGTAAATCTAAATGTTCAGCTATGAAGAGTTTGTATATTATATCTGGAAGTGTAATTTGTAGTAAGGTAGTATTCTTGTCTATCTCTTTGGGAAATTCTCTATTTCCCTTTTATATTTACATACCATATTTATCCGTACAATAATCATTACATTTTGAAAGGTCAAAGGCGGTCTTTGATGGCTTCTCTCGATAGCTTGCCACTTGGATAAGCGTAATGATGAATTATGCTGAGTTGTCGCCGCCTTACCATGCTGAGGTGGCATGTTATAGATATCGGTCCACCTAGTTATAACTGGTATGTCGTGGCTGATATGTAGTAACCGACATGTGATGACCGACATGTATTGACCGACATGTGATATCGGTTAACTTAGTAAGGATGTCGGTTTCTGATGAATCTTTCATTGTGTAGTCATCTTGAAGCTGGTGGAAGTGTCACTTACTCGCATGAACCCTAATCACCATTATATTGATCTCAATCAACGGATTAATGTCGCTTAATCTGACTTACGGAAAATGATATCAACAAGGTGGCCCCCAACATTAATGGTCGTCTGGATAAAAGACGGGCAATGATGCTGAAATTGCGACAGACCTTGACAAAATTCCTGTGTTGATACGACATGTCGGTTCCGCCATTTGCACCCGACGTCTTCGCACTTGTGAAAATGAGATTCGAAAGTTGAAACGGCAGGCTTTATTGAAATTAATTGCACCGTTTTATGTATAGGAAAAACGGTCACTGAACATAGGCCACGTAGCTGTTATAAAGAGGCACGATTTCCAAGGGTTGTGTCGACTCGCAGATCTGGAGTGTGCAACTCACGCGCCCCTATTCCATCAGTTCTCAACGGTCGCTTCGATCTAGGGCTTAATATAAATAGGGATTTTTCTTTCAAGATCTACTTTTACTTCCATCTTCCTTGTGCACCCATATTTTCTGCTTCCTCTGCAAATTTGCAAATTAATCACCTGATATCCGTATTCAAAGCAACACAGATTCTCGGACGACTTCTTGTGGTAAGAACTCTTCATTATATTTCACTTATTTACGCCGACTTTTCCTTTTCTTTTGTCGATATCATGAGTATATCCTGGGCGTCTTCGGGTGACGACGAGTTGGATGTAATGATGATCAACATGGTTCACTCTGGGGAATTAGAATTATTGTCTGAATATAACCGGTGGGATCCGGTATTTGTCGAACGGTTGAAGATCCGCCTGAATGATAGTGAAGGGGATAAAGCTGTAGAGGAAAATGCCGTCGACGACCCAAGATTCTGGAGACGACCTATCAGGAGATGGCCAAGCCCAGAAATAACATCTCACGGAGAGCCAAGTATTCTAACTGACGCCGACATCATTATGCTACGAGGCGAAGTTCGAGTCCCCTCGTCGGTACATCTGTTCGCTCCATATCCAGGTGAAAGGATCACTTGTCCTCCACCTAACTGTGTCGGCGTGTTTGCCGAGAGCTTGAGATCGGGTTTACGATTCCCTTTGCCACGCATAATCACCGAATACTTACGGGACTGGGAGTTTCCGATATGTCAAATTGCTCCAAATTCTTGGAAACGAATCATTGGACTGCTAGTACTTTTTGCCGAGAAAAAATGGGATCTGCCGTCGGCAAAGGACATAAGAAGCATGTTCACATTCCGAAAGAGCCCGGATAGACAAGTGTCGGACCCGCTTCTCACCTTTTCAATTGTCGGTAAGCCGCAGCC